ATATATATATATATATATATATATATATATATATATGGAAACAATTTTGTCAATTCCAGATTACAAACACAAGCAAATAGGAAAGATAGTAAGCAATGGAAGTGGTTGTGAAGCATACTAAATAGAGAGCCAGGCAGCCTTCACATATATTGAGGATAAAATCAGACAGAGAATTGGTTTCTAGAGTAAGAAGTAGCTATCACAGGCAGTTAAAAGAAAATATTGTTGAAAAGTGTAGCTCATGTCTATTTTTTCAATGAGTGTTTTTTTACTATCTATGTCTGTTTGTACAACACTTGAGCGTATCATGAACCGCTACTGGTGGGGTTCTGAACTGACCGTGGAAAGCGTGGGATAGACTATGTGTGCTCCAAAAAGTATGGTGACCTGGGTTTTAAGGATGTGCTCCAAAAAGTATGGTGACCTGGGTTTTAAGAATATAAAGGCTTTTAATTTGGCTAGGTTGGGAAAACAAGTGTCGCGCTTCCTTACTATGCCTGATTCGTTGGTGACACGAGTCTACAAGGCCAGGTACTTCCCTAAGAGTTCATTCTCTTAGCCATGTTTAGGGAATAACCTCACTTAGTTATTGTTGGCCTAGTATAATGGCAGCTCAGGGGCTAGTTCAGAGTGGCATGATGCGCGTGATTGGTAATGCGGAATCTACATTAATTTGGGGACAACCCTTGCTCAAGGGGCTAGTTCAAAGTGGCATGAGGCGCAAGGTGGGTAATGCAGAATCTACCTTAATTTGGAGATAACCTTGGCTCCAAGATGATCAAGACCCTGTGATCTAGACTGAGATGCCCCTCAGTTGGCTAGTGCAAGAGTAGTAGGTTTGATTGATCAGGATACTAGTTCGTGGGATCATTCTATTTTATCTGATCTATTTCTCCCCATGATATTACTCGTATTCAGAAAATTCCCGTTAGCCCTAATTATGAGAATATTTGGTATTGGCATGGGACCCCAAGAGTTGCTATTCTGTAATGCCTATAAAATCATTGTAGGGGACTACGTTAATTGTGAAGGGTCTTTTGATAAATGGCTCACATGGTAGAAATTAAAAGTCCCCCAAAATGGAAAACCTTTCTTGGGAGAGGTTTGAATGATATCTCAACCAAGAATTTGCTTATAAAAAGAGTGGATGTGGATCATATATGTGCCATGTGTGGTATTCATCAAGAACACATATTGCATGCATTGGTGCTATGTGATTTTGCATCCTCTGTTTGGCGTGATTCCAACCTTCCAATCCCTAATGTTATGACAAATATTTTTTTTGTTTGGTTTGAGGAAGTTACAAATATTTTAGACACTAATCAAATTATGCTCGCAGCTGGCCTCCTATACTACATTTGGAAAGCACGGAACAATGCGGTGTGAGATTGTTTCCTGCCGACACCGAGGAAATTGATGGCAACTGCCACAGCCGCTATACATCCATGACGAAGTGTTCACCAAATTGCCACCTCTCAGCCATCCATGTTGCACCCCGCGTTGGACCACACGTCCGCCTCAGTTCGACGATGCTTTGTCGACGCCGGTTATCATGCTACAACCAGCAGAGCTACGACTGGGGCAGTACTCTTGGACGAAGTAGGGGGTTTCGTTGCGGCGTTCAACACCAGTCTCCCGGATTGCTCTTCTCTGTTAATGGCCGAGGCCCTTGCATGCAAAGAGGATTTGTCCTGGTTGAGGGATCGTGGAAAACAGACGGTGGAGCTTCACACAGATTGCTTGACTCTTCAGCACTATTTGGCTACGAATGCGGGACCTTTTCGCTCATACATTGGCTATGCTATCGATGGTTGCAGATCTATTATGTCTACTACTTTCACGCATTGTTTTTTGAAGTTTGTTCCTAGATCAGCTAATTTAATAGTTCATACTCTAGCTTCTACTGCTTTTGCTCATTCTCTACTGCTTTGTATTGAAATTCTATCCCTCCTGACTCTATTTTAGCGTATCTTTAATATATGCCGGTTATTTTGCTTTCAAAAAAATAGAGAAGCCAAGATAGATCATTTTTGTTTAGATTAATTTTTCCCCTACTGCATTAACTTTGAACCAGCAGCCCGAATGGCGCTCTTGCAAGTTGAAGTCTTGAGTTGAACCAGAGAACGCGGTCCATTGTCATTAAAGAAGGCAAGTCACCACCTAGACTTTCTGCAGGTGTTGTTACCTTTAAAGAAGAAAATAAAGAGAATAAACAACCCCCTAGAAATCAATAACCTCAATCCTCAAATTCCAATATTACAAAGAGAAAAATACAACAACTTTGAAATGAAGCACACATCAATAGAAAGGTTCTTCAATTTCTACTTCACTTACCTCAAGAATCAGAACCAATTGAAAGAAAGAAAGAAATAAAATAAACAAAACCCAGAAATTCAAATAAAGAGAATTCCAGGGTGGTTCATAAATTCTTGAAAAGCAAACAACAATTGCCCTTCATTAAGCAAGCAAACGAATATGAGGACTCGTGCAATCCATCCCAGACAGCAATTAACACAAACAAAAACCATAAAAAAACGGAGAGAATCACGAGAAAAGACTGCAGGGAGAGGGAAAACTCACCTCCGTGGCTCCGTCTACGCTCTCGTCTTCACTGACTGTTAAGTTCGGTACCTGTCTTTACTTTTTTCGTAAATTTTGTTAGAGTTTATTATTGAAAGAGTAAATACTCAAAATGGTCCCTCGACTATAGCTAAATTCACAAATTGGTCATCGACTTTCAATTTCAACCAATTAAGTCCTTAACTTTGTAATTTTAACACAATTTGGTCCTCTGTTTATTTGATCGTTTGTTGACTGTGATTTTTGAGGATATATATGTAATTTCATGGTCCATCGTCGGGTTTTTAAAGTTCCGATTGCATTTTCAGACTGCACTGTTACATTTGAATCCACTGCCGAAAGCAATCTACCAAATCCGGTCGCCTTTCTTCATCCTCCCTTTGGATTCAATGTAGTTGAGTTCGTACCAGAGCGAAGAAGACGACGTGTTTCCAAACCGGTGCAACGTCATCCTGGAGGCCTCCACGTGCTCCGACGAGAGCTGAAAGTTCTTCTGGAGATCGTCGATCACGGTCAACAAAAGGTCAAATAGATGGAGGACTAAATCGTGTCAAAATTGCAAAGTTAAGGACTTAATTGGTTGAAATTGAAAGTTGAGGACCAATTTGTGAATTTAGCTATAGCCGAGGGACTATTTTGGGTATTTACTCTTACTAAAATGCTTCCTCGACTATTGCGAAATTATTAATTTGATTCTCGACTATTTTTCGTTTTCAATTAAGCTTTCGACTTTAAAAAAGTTAATCATTTTGATAAGCTTTCGACTTTGAAAAAGTTAATCATTTTAATCCTATATTCGTTTAGGTGTTAGAAGTCTCTTTAAGTAAAGGACATTCTGTATTTCTGTATAAATAAATATGGGATAAAGGTTAAATAGACCCTTCAACTATAGACATTGATCACTTAAACTAACAAAAGCTTTAATTAGACTCTTAATCTTTTCACTTTTATACAATTAAGTTTTTTTTTTTTTTGAAAAATTATACAATTAAGTTAATTAACCGGTCTTTCAAAAAAAAAGTTAATTAACTGGTTATATTTAAGTCACATGTAAATTTCTTTTTTTTTCTTTTTTTTTTAATTTTAAAAATTAATATAAATAAAAATATATTTTTAATTCACAAAATAAATAAATAAATAAAGTATGGCGACCGACCGGCTTCTCCGTTCAAACCGGTTTGGCTTCTTCATCCAGTTGAACGGAAAAGTCAGCCTGGCTTCTTCGTTAATACCATGTCCCGTTAAAAATTCGAATAGGTATTGTATTGTGCTCAATTTAGTCATCGACTTTGATAATTTTACCCAATTTAGTCATTTGTTAAAAATTTTGACGGTTAGAAATAGGATCCTAATGCTAATTTCTCATCATTTATCAATTTCAGATGATTCATTCTTCTTCTCTTTATTAAGATTCACGCAGAAATGTAAATATTTGTACCCAAATCAACTCCAACCCTATAGGATTGAAGTTGATTTGGGGATGAAGATCTCAATTTTTAAGTAGTGTTGAATAAGGGAAAGAAGAATAAATCATTTCAAATGAGATAAGGGTGATGAATTACTTTATGATCATATTTTTAATAGTCAATTAACAAAAATGTTTACAAAAAAAATTAAATAGTATAAATCCATCAAAATAGATAATACGATTATAATTGATGATTAAATTGGATATTAACTCATTAAAAATCACCCAAAAAAATGAGGAGAGTTTTTTTTTTTGAAAATAAATGAGGAGAGTTAAACTTGAAGTGTTTTATAAGTACTAGAAAACCTTATTAGATTAAACCCCAAACAGATGGCATTCTCTCCTCGTCCATCTAACGTAGGACTATAAATGTCTCATTCGGCCACTCCCTCTGTTTCCAGTTTCTTCTGGTCCTTCCAAACCTAAAGCTTTTCAAAGCCCTTTTCCTGTTCGCTCCTCCTCCTAGGGTTTGTTTCTACGACCCCCTCTCCTTATAGTCTTATACGATGATGATGATAAACTTTTACATATTTACATTGTTCGATGTCTGTTGTTTGATTTGACGGTGTGATTGAGATTTTTGCTTTAAATTTCAAAAATTTCCCTTCGCTTTCCCACTTTATTCTAAGATGCCGTCGTTTGTGCTGGAATGTCGGTTGATGTTCGTTCGCATTGTTTTTTTTTTGTTTTCTGTTAAATTACAACTATTTTCTATGTTCTGCCAATCTATTGTATAAATTTCAGATATGATTGTTTGGCTGTTGGATGTTCTGTCTGTTTTGTATTTATGTTTGTATGTTTGCTTTACATTACGACACTGTTTTTTTTTTTTTTTTTTTTTTTTTGCTAATTTATTGTATGATTATGCGGTCGTTTGTTCTGTAGGGTTCACAGTTTTCTACACGAAAGATCTTTTATTTGTCTCCTCAGGCGAACAGGTGAGTGTTTTTTGTTTATGTTTATGTTTTACAAGGAATCTATAGTGGCTGAATTTTAAGTAACTCTTATGTGTTGTGAGTGAACCATGAATTCTTTCCTCTTTTTTTTTGTCTGTTTTTGTTTTTTTTCATTTGAAATCTCAACTTGCTCAGGACAACTAATTGTGCTTCGTTAACTGTCGGGTGTTGAGAAAGTGAAAAGGATGTATGAGTTTTTGCAAGTTTGTATCATAACATTGTTGCATTGAGTGTTTGAGATGGAGTAATATATGTGGATTTGTCGGTTGTGATACTTTAACATTATATTGACTATGAACTTTTAAGATCTTATCTTAACTCTTGAGTGTACGGAGATGATTCCCGTGATTAGCTCCTTAACTATGAAACATGAATGGTTTCTTGTCGGCATATAGCTTAAGAAACTTGCATGTTGCCATCCATTGATCTGTTACCTTAATGAAAGCTTTTCTTTAAAAATTTGATGAGTCTTGCTACAAGTTACTCGTTGGCTTTATGGTCCCAGTGAATGTGTTTTTGATTTATGGGAAAACCATAGCCCTTACCCGAAGGGGAACTATGGGTGAGGCTCGCCTTGTGACCCTAGCCGGTAAAGGACCACAAGGAGGTAAATCAACCTAGATTGCCTAAATTGTTGATAGCTGATTGGCTCAAACCAAGAAGACCAATGTACGAGGAACCTTGTGGTTAGTTGGTTAGTTGGTTACCAAGCCAATTGCCCAACCAACTCGACTGGGTTGCCTCCCACTAAATGTGTTTTTAGTTTGCTGTTATCAAGAAAGCAAATTTTGTTTTTAAATGGGTAATTTCATTTTGCTAGACTCTTGAAACAAAAATATGTATTTGAGAAATAAAGAAACATATAAATCCCACTGAGTTTAGCTGTAAGATGCATTCTCTGTGTGTATATATGCATCTTTCTATCCAAGGATTTGATGACTTATCATAAGTTTACTTACATTGCTTATCGTTTGGTACTAATTTTCCGCATTTTCTGGGATGAAAGAGAGGTCTGATATTTGCATCCTCTCAGTAGATATGATTAACCAGTCATTCTTTATTAAAGAAGTAATTGCGGTGCAGGAAATTTCAAAGACATGGAGCAGAACGAAGCAGGCGTCCAAGCTCCCGTCCTTTGCGTCAACAACTGCGGGTTCTTTGGAACCGTAGCGACCATGAACATGTGTTCTAAATGCTACAAGGACACCGTCTTGAAGCAAGAGCAGGCTAGGCTCGCCGCTTCCTCCATCGAGAGTATCATGAACGGCGGGAAGTCCGTAGATGTTGTCGCCGTAAGCTCCCACGATGGTTCCGCCGAGTCCAGTGCAGTAACTGCCCAAGTCTCGTGCATGCAACCCGAGAACAACGGCGGTGAGAACACGAAGGAAGGTCCGAAGAGGTGCAGCGCTTGCAGGAAGCGAGTGGGGCTAACAGGCTTCAGCTGTCGATGCGGGAACCTCTTCTGCGCGGTTCATCGCTACTCTGACAAACACGAGTGCCAGTTCGATTACCAGAAGGCAGCTCAGGAGTCCATATCCAAAGCCAACCCGGTTGTTAAGGCTGAAAAGCTCGACAAAATCTAGGGAGGAGGGGGGATGGAAGAGAGGCGTGATATGGCATCTATTCAAGAAATCAAGGAAGGTTTTCGATTTCTTGTTTATCAGTGTAGTGCATCATGTTATGGCTTCATCTGCACTTTGCTTCTTTTGTGGCTTGGTTTATTGACATTCTTGTGATTAGTCTTCTATATATACTGCTTTGTAAAGCTTATTTAATTTCAATCTTTTGTTTATTCACCAACTCTATAATTCAAGATTGTTAGAAGATTTAGCAGGGCTGGAGCAAGGAGTGTTGGTTTGATCAGCACTTATTTCTTGCACGGACAGTTCAGTTAGTGTTGCACGGGCAGTTCAGTTAGTATTTCAGGTAGTTTCTCGTACGGGCAGTTCAGTTAGTATTTCAGGTAGTACTTTGAGGGTAATGATTTACGAATCAGGAGTAAGCATATGGGAGTTTTATCTATCGTAATGTGTTTTTTGTGGGTAATGATTTAAGAATCAGGATTAAACATTGACGATCACAATATGAGAGTTTTACCTATTGCGATGTATTCGTTGTGGATGTTTTTTTACTAAGAAGTCGTTAAATAATTGTGATTTATCTTTCTACAATCTTATTGGGTCGGAGTGTAGGCTTTATGAATTGAGAGCCAATACTAAAAATGTACAATAGTTTGGGGATCAAAAGTAGAAATAAGTCAAATGACCCTATATACGCACAACAAAAAGTTGAAACTGCAAAATGCAAAAGTATGAATTTCTTGAATGATTCAACTATTCGTGTTTTATATGCATCATTAATTTCATATATATATATCACAAATAGTCGTTTTCATAAACCAATTCAAGAAAAAAACAGAGACAATTTTGTCAATTGCGGATAAGTATGAATACATTGAAAATAAATTCATCTAATGAAGACCCACCAGAAAATCAGTATAAATAAATTTGGAAAAAATTGCATATTTGAATCCGAGTACTCCGGCTTAGTCAATCAATTATGACTGTATCCATTTTTTACTCCTTAGTTATGGCCGAAAGTGACAAATTTAGTTCTTGACGTTAGATTTTCGTCTTAACCTGACACTATATATATATATATATATATATATATATATATATATATTCCTTCAGCAATCCTTGAATTAGAAAAGCCTTTGTTGTGTCGTAGCTGTAACTGTGGACATATGCTTCGCTATCACTTCATTTGTGCTTCGGAAATGCACATCATGATTTCAAACAATTGTGATCTAGGATCCGCATTATTGCTTGACCCGACATCTCGATATTTGATAATCACATTACATTTTAATAATTTTATTGTTGAATTGTTATCAAACTTTATTCAAAAGAGTTATTCTTTCACATTTGTAAAAAATAAACTCTCAAATGGATCAAATAATAATGTGAATCTTAAATCGGTAAAAGAGTATAGTTGAGTTATTAAGTTACATATTCAACAAGTTACTACTAATTTGACACTGACTATGCTTCTATACATGCTATTATTATGATGGGGTTGTTACTTGAAACCCAATGTAACAGTGACAAGAAAACAAAAACTATGGATATCAATATTAATAGTATCCAATAAACAAAATGTAGCCCGTAATATATACAATGTTATACATACGATACGATATTATTGACGTGAGTGTGAATTAAGACGATAAACTTTCTTCCTCGATAATATAAATTATAGTGTTGGAGGTAGGGCCCGCAATTTACAGCACGTGAAAGCGAGAGATAGAATGGGGAGGAAGAGTGGGACCCAAAACTTGACTGGGGTCCCACACAACCGAATGAAAAAGCAAAGGCCTCAGCAAGCCGACTCCAAAGTTGAGAAAGAGACGGTCAGGTTGGGCGGCTAAGCGCCGCTACTGAATGAGCCGCTCATATAATATATATATATATAGAGAGAGAGAGAGAGACTTATAGAGAGAGAGAGAGAGATGAGTGATGGTGGGACAGGAGACTTGGGAGGAGGGACGCAATTGAATTGTCGAAATTGCCCTCTGGATGGGGAGTTAAAACACGGAGGAACACAATTGTCACGCGCTGAAAGATTAGGAGTAATTTAAAGTTTGGACATGGTGGATTAGGAAAGAAGAAAGCAAGTTGTGTCCCACTTTCCTTCTCACATTATTGCCTGTTTTGCCTTTATATATATATACTTAAACTTGGTGACCCAATAACGATTTGTTTAGAATTTTATGATCATAATTAAATAGCATTTGGTTTTAAGTGATTTTACAAGATTGCAATGGTGGGTGTAAATTGCGTAAAACTATCAAAATCGAAAATCTAATTAAATATACAAAAAATATGACTAAATCAAGAAAAATCACTATAGTCGATCACTAAACTGGATACTAATTCTTTCATAAACTTCCTGTTCTAATTATATGTAATTAACATTACATATCTAATGCATGAAACATCCCAAGTGATGTGGAAATTGTGGATCATATAATTAGTTAATGACTTAATGGTGAGTTCAGTCATTTCTCAATTCTCATGCAAGTTGCAGGGGTCAATTTATGTAAAGCGATTATGGGCAGTTGATCCCTTGATGGGCTATGATATAAAAATTTCAATTGTAATGGGTGGTAGGTTAGAAATGAATTTTAAAATTATACAACTATACTACCCAATCCTTTAATATAACGTTTTAAAAATCAACAATAAAAATAAAAATAAAGTCAAATTAAGAGAGTAAATATAAGTTGGGCTCACATAGACAACTTAACTGGTTCCTTGGTGATAATTGCGGGCAATGAATCTAATAATACATGATCAACTCCCGACAGTCACAGTGTAAGAATTTCACATAATGTAGTGAGTTCTTTATGGAGAATCAAACACTGATCCATCAATAGTCACATCTAATGTGTCGCTGTGTTATCGTTATTTACTCATTTATTATCTTATCAGGTCAAAATAGAAAATTTCGTATTTGTAGACTTGGAGAGTTGGAGGGTGAATATATGAGGCTACATGCTACTCAAAAGTCAAAACTATTGTTATCCTTATAGTTGAACCAACCCCGGGGGGTAGAGGATAAATAATCATATTTAAAAATGATTAAAATACGTTCTAATTTTGTTTTCACTAAATCTTATAGGCACAAGTGTCAAATAGACCCATCTACTACTGCGAAGTGCTCAATTTTCACCACAAACTAAATTAAGTGTCAAATAGACCCATTTACCAGCTAAATTTGTTCAATTAGCTTTTTTTACAGGTTACCTATTTATTAATTATTAATAAATAAATAAATAAAATAATTAAAAAAAAAAAGATAATAGCCACCGGCTGTCCGGCGAGGACAGCCGGTGGCTGCCCATTCACAGACAGCCGTCCAACTGAGGTCCAAATCTGGGAATCGAACTCCAATTAAAATATATTTGCAGAGGATATGAATTAGTCAAAAGGAGAAAACATGATAGGAAACAGTTGATTTGAATGAAAACCATCAAACAAGTGTGAAGTTGAACTAATGAGAAATATCTGCTGCAGTCACTGGAAATCTTGGAGAACATTAAAACGAAGAAGTTTGTTTTGATACATGGAGAGGGATTTGGAACTTGGTGTTGGTACAAAACTGTTGCTTTATTGGAGGAAACGGGATTGCATCCTACTGCGTTGGACCTCACAGGATCTGGCATCGATCTGACAGATACGAACAATATAACAACACTGGTAGAATACTCGAAGCCTTTGATTGATTATCTCCAGAACTTACCAGATGATGAAAAAGTAAAATGACTTTTTGCAAGATTGATTAGTTTCCTCTTCCTAGATCATCTTGATATTTCAGCAGAAATAACTAATAAGTATATTTATGCATTCTTCTACTAGGTGATTTTGGTCGGTCATAATACCGGAGTTGGACAGCCGTGGATGTCCAGATGTGCTCGCCAGACAGCCGGTGGCTATTATCTTTTTTTAATTTTTTAATTTTTTTTTAATTATTTTATTTATTTATTTATTAATAATTAATAAATAGGTAACCTATTGGTAATCTGTAAAAAAAGTTAATTGAACAAATTTAACTGGTAAATGGACCTATTTGACACTTAATTTAGTTTGTGGTGGGAATTGAGCACT